TACACATATACATACATACACACATAAAAAAGACATATATACAAAACAAAATATTAGCGATAATTATGTTTTTCTTTGGGTGGTGAAAAGCGTGGGGGGTGGGGGGGGGGGGGGGGAATCAGTTTTTAACTCCTTGGCCACTGCCAAAAACAGCTAACACTAATTACTCAAATATCTCTGCCCGGCTCTCTAGCGAAGTTGGTTGAACCTGACTTTCGGGGCGGCCGGGTGACGAACTCCTTGTGGTCCGGGTTCACTCCCGGGGGTAGGCAGAAAAGCCACATTTCTCCCAGATTAAACGGTACCTATAATGGAATCAATGCCGAAGGGTTGCGATATCCATAGTACCGAGCCAAAGGGTTTACAACTCATGGTTTCTGGATACGTAAAAAAAAAAAAAACTCAAATATCTCAACAAATACTTACGTAAGACATTGTACCATGTAAAATGGTAACTGTTAGCCTGATCTACTCTGATCTACTTTAAAAAAAAAATAGGTAATGTGTTCTTTTGGTGCTTTTTGTGTGTGTGCGTGTCTGTGTGTATGATCATGCAATTTTGCGTTCCAAATCAGATTTAAAGAAATTGCTAGTGAGAAAGGTGCGTAAAGGCTGAACGAATAAGGAATTAAAGGAGAATTTAGTTGCATTCGTTTGTGTCTTGTCTTGTCTTGTCCACAATTGCCTCACAGCGTAGTGGGGAGTCGCAGTTTTCTATCCTGGGCCAGGTGTGTTGCATGTGTTGTTGTTAGTCCGTGTTGCCTAAGGATCTCTGATATATTGTCTATCCATCGTACTCTCGGTCTGCCTCTTGCTCTAGGGCAGTAGTGTTGTTCGTTGTATGCTCGTAGAGGCAGTTGGTCGGTTTGCATTCGCATCAAGTGGCCAAACCACTCTATTTGTTGCTTCTTTATGTATTGCAGGCATGGTGTGGTTCCTACAATTGATCTAATGTTCTCGTTTCGAACTCAGTCTCTCCTTGTGACATTGGCAGCCTTACGTAAGCATCTCATTTCGCACGTCTTGATCTTTTTCTCCTGTGCTTTTGTTAGGGAACAGGTTTGGCATTGGTAGCAGAGGGTTGGTATAAACATGCAATTTATCAGTTGTCGTTTTAGTGCCATAGTGATGCTTGGGTGTTTCAGCAGTGGGGAGAGTTGGTAAGTTACTGAGTTCGCCTTTTGACATCTTGCCTCAAGTTCCCTATCAATTCTTCCATCATCTGTGAAGATGCTCCCTAAGTATTTAAATTGCTGCACTTGTTTGAGTTGTTCGTTGTTAACTTGAAAAGTTAGTATATTAGGTGTTCTACTTATTTTCATAATTTCTGTTTTGGTGATGCTGATCTTCATGTTAAATTCGTTGCAGACTGTGTGTAGCGCATTTACGTGGATTTGAAGTTCTTTTTTCGTTTTCATGAATTATGCTTTGGTCGTCTGCGAAAAGTATTTCGTTCAGTTGGGGATGTACTTCTTCAGGATCGGCGTGTATGTTTTCATTATAATGATCTCTTTCAACTAACTCTGTCTTATTGCTTGGTGTAGTTAACAGTTCGCTTATCATTACATGGTTTGCTTCTGTTGTTATTCTGTCTATGTATATATTGAATAGTAGTGGTGATAGTACACAACCCTGTCTTACTCCTGTTCTTAGTATGAATTCGTCTGTCACACCAACATTTGTTCTAACTACGCTTGAGCTTGTTTGGTACAGAGATCTGATGTTGTCTAGTAGCTGACCTTGTACTCCATAGTCGTTCAATATATTCCATAGTTTGTTCCTGTCTACCCTGGTCAATGAATGCTATATTGAGTTGTTTGTTATATTCTATTGCCTTTTCACTAAGTTGTCTTAGGGTGAAAAGGGCGTCTGTGCAACTTTGTCCTTTCCTAAATCCAAACTGAGCTTTACTCAGCTGTGTATCTACAATATGTTTTGTTCTTGTCTCAAGTACTTTTGAATATCGCTTCCCTACGTGGCTCAATAAAGAAATTCCTCTGTATGTGTCACACTCTCTTTTGTTGCCCTTGTTTTTCCAAATTGGGACTATGATAGCTTTTTGCCAATCCTCTGGTGTTTTCCTTTCGTTCCATGCTACCGTGAATATTCTATGTAGCCATTTTGCTCCGGTTTTTCCGCACGCTTTATTCGTTTGTGTCATCGCATTAAAGACAACTGAACAGTAAATTTGCACTTTTTTCCCCCTTCTAATTATTCAAACCCCTTTAATAGTAGGCGTGCAGCGAAGTTTGAGAACCCGTTATCTAGAATGTCTTTCTATGTCTTCTCTGCTCGAACTTTTGCTCCCAGGAGTTTTTATTCCTTGAATTCGTTCAGGTTGCCGCCTTGGGTAACCCGTGTGAATTCACGCAATCTCGTGATTTTGCCCGTGTCGTGAATTCAGCTGGTTGACCGCTGGTTCAGCTCTGGGTCAGTCGAATACAAACATAGGACGTGACGGGTCTTATCGTCTATACACCGTCCCTTGCCCTTCCTGTAGGGCTATGACAGCTCTATTAAATTGAACTTTATATTAAATTGAACGAGGTTTCCCGGTTTGGACTAATTTTATTTTCATGCTAAAGTTGTTAATCCTACATAATGAAATCCGGGATGGAATATCTACCCCGACCGCTGGCCAACAGTATCAGTAAACGATCGTACTGTGAAGTAACATACTTTATCACAGTAACTTATGTCAAAACCATCATTATATGATACCACACATCCAGCTTAAGGGTGGAGGCGGTCACTGCGGCTTTCCGCTGGCTAAAGAACACGACATACACACACATATTGTGATTGTAACTGACTCAGAAAGCATGCTGAGGGGATCAGGACAGGCATGCTTCGTGCAGAGTGGCAAGCCTCGCTGCGGAAGACACGGGTAAGGAATTTTGTCTGGATTTTTTCACCAGGGCGTGCCGGTGTGCTGGGAAATGAACAGGCGGACAGACTGGCTGGCTCTGTACAGTTTGGTGGAATACTGATGCAGGATAGGGCAGACGTGGTTAGTGCCTTGTGGGAGAGCTTGCACAGTTCGGAGGGGCAGATGGATCACTACAGTGTGGTGAGATTGATGCAGTTGGGGGTGACGAGAGGTTCTGGCAGATGCTCGAGGCTCAGAGGAAAGACAAGACGAACGTTTAATCAGAATGCTACTGGCACCATTAGTATCGGAACTCTTCGCTGGCTGCTGAAGATGGGGACGGAGCGCTTATGGAAATACCCCGAGTGCTGTGATGTAGGTTCTTGCATCAAATCAAATCATCATTATCATCAATTTCCATTTGTGTCGTTAAGCGTTGGCAGAGGAACAGTTTGCGATTTATTGCTTGATAGACAGCAATGGCTATGGTCATTCCACGTCGATGTAGAAATTCTCCAATGACGTAAATCCATGTTCTTCTAGGGCGGTCTCTTGATTTCACTTCAGATCTGTTCATGTGTAGCTCCTGCATGGGTAGTTGTTCTTCCTGTATTCTTACTAAATGACCAAACCATTTGATCTTAAGTTTCTCGATGAATGTGCTGCATGGTGTTGTTCCTACAGTCTGTTTGATAATATAATTTCTAACTTTGTCTCGGATAGTTAAGTAGGCGGCTTTTCTCGGGCATCTCATTTCACAGGTGTTAACTTTACGTCGGTTAGCCTTTGATGATGTCCAAGTCTGGCACTGGTAGCACAGTGTTGGTATGAATATGCTGTTTACAATCTGTTTCTAGGCGAAATTAATTATGTGTGAATATCTTATTAACGGTGTCAGTTGGTATATAAGTGCACTGGTATGTTGACATCATGTTTCAATTTCCCGATCTATTCTCTCGTCCTCCGTGAATATATTTCCTAGATATGCAGATTCTTTAACTTGCATCAGACAAGTACCATTCAACACGATATGTAGCGGACTAGGAATTCTGATGACTTGAACTACTTCAACTTTAGTAGTATTTATTTTCATGTAATACCTTCTGCATGTTGAACTTAGCCTGTTCAAATGTTCTTGCAGTCTATTTCCATTATTGTAGAACAGGCACTGATCTTCGGCAAATAGTAGCTGGTTTACTGTTTGTGGATCTAATTCTTCCTCTGGAAAGTAAAGGTAAAAGGTAAAGTTGGGAGATGTGAACCAGCGTCATTGCACACGATTATAAACCTTAAGTGCTCTGCCACCAGTACGGACAGCTGATATGAATTGTCCGCCTATGTCGCCGTCCGCACATAACTCTGTAGCGACAGCGACGTTCCTCCATTTACCCCAGAGTGTCATCTCTGGTGCCCATTTCCTAGAGGCTGGGTGAACCCCAGCGAGTCGCAGCTGGATTTGAAAGTGAGCCTCTTATCGACTGCGCTAACGCGGTGGAAAGTAAAGTTCCTTATGTTAAGCAACAAATAGTTTCACATGCACACACTGTTATCTGGTATTTAAATAAGACCAAGATCGCAAGTTATTTATTTTCATGACAGGTAACTCAATGTAATCTATGCCTTGGGGTTGTTTGAATGTGTTGCTTGGTTCTTGTGTGTTTCATCTTGAATACAAAGCTACAGTTTCAACAGTGTTAGCTTATAGTTTTCTTTTTCTTTCCCAGACCGTAAAATACACCATATCTTGATTTCTACCAGAATTGAAGGGGAAAAAAGAAAGAAAAAAGACATGAAATATTAATATATATACAGAGAAAGATTGTGGACTGCACGATAACGTTCATCAAGGCTAATTGTCTCGTGACATAAGTTTTCTGACAGAAGGATCAAAGAATGATTTTTAAGAAATATTTTCAAGCTACAAACATAAACAAAAAGTGGACGTTCTGATTATGTGTTTTCGACAAGCTAAATCAAATCAATAACGTCAAGTAAAATCTTGAACACTTTTCGGTTTGTGAGAAATACTCAGCGTACGAAACCAACCATATTATTTTGCAGACCAAACGGCATTGTTTGACGAGGTCTGTAAAACACAAAAGCAGTCTTTGGTTAGGTTTGTTTGTCCGAAATGCTGTTATCTATGTTTGAGTTTACCCCGGTCACAGTTGTCTGCTTGACCATTGCTGTGGTCAGTCTGTTCGGTAGAACTGATGGCACTACTGGCGATGAGAGGGCACATACAAGGACTCGAAATATTCGTTCCGTACTTCAAGATGACGTAAGTAGTTAATAATAGCACTCTATTCTCTTTATTCTTTTTTTTTCACCCTCTACCTCCTTTCACTATCGCTCACTCCTCTCTCTCTCTCTCTCTCTCTCTCTCTCTCTCTCTCTCTCTCTCGCTCTCTTTCTCTCCCCGTCATGTGTATGTACGTATATATATATATATATATATATATATATATATATATATATATATATATATATATATATATATACTGGGAGTATAGGGCTATATATATATATATATATGGGAGTCGACGAGGCGTTGGCGGCTAGACGCCTGCCTACGAATCGGAAGGTCTTGGGTTCGTGGCCAGCCCTACTATACTCCCAGTACACCTAAAGGCGGGAAAAGGCACCTTAACTTTACTTATATATATATTTATAAAATGATGGTGGTCTGGGTTGGGTGTGGACGTCCTGTGGTGAGAGTGTGTGTGTGTGTGTGAGGGGGGGGGGGTCGTTTAACCCCACCAGGACCGCATCACTAGGGATAAACATCCGGTGACACAAAGTACCACCATTCGGATGAGGATCCCTCGGGCACAAGTTCCAGAAACCCCGTTCAAAAGTTAGGTTATATTAGGGCCCCTGACTACAGCCGGGGTGGGACTTTAAAAGTAACGAAAAATTGCGTCCCACATTGGGGCGGGAAGCATTATGTATTGACGTATTGTGGTGGAGAAAATTGCAAGACTAGATTGGCGGATACGGTCCAATAGGACGTTGGTGATGATGAAATATATTATACCCCTAGCTTGTCTTCTATGGCTCAAACAATGTCTGTATCACACACACGAACGTGAGCGCGCACACACGCAAGCACGCGCGTCCCCACAAACAAACTGTCAATCAGGGCAATAGAGAACTACTTGAACTTACTTGTTCTATCTTTGCATAAATCTAGTCGCTGAGAACTAGGATTAGCCTGCCTCGAGATGACTCAATGCCTGCCACAGTTGTTCCCGATGATGCAACTATTCTCTACAGTGGGAGGTAAGTTATTGATTATTCCCCCTTCTCAACATTTCACTGCATGATCTTCAGTTCCGGTGTCCCATTTGGAGCAGGTGTGGTTGGGGTAGGGATGGTCATGATCAATTCCCCCCCCCCCTCCCCCAATTAAGTTTGTAAAAGTCGACTTCTTAGGGTTTTGCTAAAATCTTACCTGTTGAACCAACAGGCGCAGATACCAATACCTTGCTGCAAACGAACTCCATTTTAAGGGTTAACTCAGAAGAAACCTCAGACGACCCAGATCCTACAAGAATGGTATATCCGTCTCGCCCCTCCCCCGAGTGTCGAGCGTTGGCCAGATCACCTTGTAACTCCTCGAAGTGCCATTCTCCTCAGACCGTAATGATCTATCTGTTCCTCGGCACTGTTCACTCGCTCCTAAAGGGCCCTCCCAACATCCAGCTTGTCATATATCAGTTCACCACCAAGTGGAGCGGAACCGGCCAGTCTATCCGCCTGCTTATTTCCCAACACACCAGAGTGACCTGGAGAAAATATCCAAAGGATGCTACTACCCGGGACCTCTGGAGTGATGCTTGCCACTCTGCACGGATCATGCCTGTCTCCACCTTTCTCAGCATGCTCTGTGAGTCAGTTACAATGACGACATGTGTGTATAGCTGATTCTCAAGCCAACGGAAGGCAGCAGTGACTGCCTCCCCCTCCATTCTTAAACTAGACGTTGTGATATCATATGCCAGGCTTTGTTGCGCCAAGCGACGTCCATTCGCCTTTGCTATGAACCCCCATACACTTCGTCTGCCCCTCACCACAGAGCCATCTCTATATACAATCACATCGCTTGGGCGCGAATTGCCATGAATCATTTGTTGAACTTCTTATTCTGCAGCACCAGCTGGCCATTCCCCGCACTCACGTCCCAAAGTGATTAGAATCCTACACAAGTCTGAAACATGATCGCACACTTTGACCCACTCCTCTCCTCGCCTAAATTTATCAAGCCTGCAAACATGTCGAATTGTGTCTTCAGCTTGCGCCATACAAGACTTTCCTCTTTTCAGTCTGTGACCCTTAGCTCTATCCAGGCTTCATGCAAGAGGTGCCTCTTGTCCGCAGCTACTCTGTGATCTGTGAGATATGACTTTGCTTGCAGAACTTTGAGCCTATCTGCAATAGTAGGAAGTGCGAGTATATATCGCATACATACTACCAGGGTATCTCTCGTACATCCCAGAATCACCCGCATGGCTTCATTCTGTATGCGTTCAAGTTTCATCAGCTGACTCTTTGATATGGTAAGCATGCCAAGTCCATAATCTATCACCGACAGGATCACATGCTCGAACATTGTGAACAACATTCTTTGTTCCATGTCCATTGCTGCCATAATTTTGTGAGCATTGAGTCTTTTTTGGCATTTCACTGCAACTGCATCCACATGATCCCTGAAGGACAGGCTTTTATCAAAAATGATACCCAGGTATCTTAGTTTGCTTTCTCGTTTGATGTTACTGTTATGAACTGTGGGGTTTGGAACACCAGCTTTTAGAATTCTGTTGTCCAGAGAACACCACAAAACACCTTCTTTTTCTGGGTTGATGACAGCAACCAATTCTGCACACCATCAGTCACTTTGTCCACAGTTGCTTGTAGCTCATGTGCTTTCCGTCGCCTATCTCTCCCCTGCCTGTATGCACGAACATCATCAGCAAATGTCAATATTCTTCCAACACCTGGTGATTCAAGTTGTGGAGTCTTGCTTGTATACACATTAAAGAGCACTGGTAAAATTGCAGAACCCTGGGGTAGTCCTAGGTCGATATTACATGGTTCTGAGGTCCATGTATCCAGGCGAAGGGCTACCATAATTGATTGCAGGACAGCTGTTATCCATTTCACAAACCACGGACAAACCTCTTTCTCCATGAGTGCAGAAATCAAAACAGCTTCGGTACTCCAGGAATGCATCACAGTTAACCTAATTCCACTTCCACAAGCAGGCAAAGATCATTCCAAACTCAGCAGTTTCAGAGTTATCGCTCTACAAAATACTTTTGGCAAGGTGCTAAAGAAGATTGTTGCTGTTAAACTACAAAAATTTTTGGAAAGGGAAGAGCTCCTGCCAAAAAGGTTTGGGTACTTACCGGCCTCGAAAAGATACCTGGTCCAATGCAGCTACTTTTGCTTTGGATGTTTATGAGAGGTTCCAGAACAGACAGGAGACAGTTGTGGCAGCACTTGATCTTGAGGATGCCTGCAATAGAGTCTTCATGCTCTTCCAATGGGTATACCTGACTCCGTCTGGCCCAGGCGCAGTGTCCTTTGCTTTTTGCAGTACATGTTTTATATCCTCCACCCTTATAACTTCTTCAAAATTCTTATCATTTATTGTATTTAACAGATTATTTCTAAGTAAAAATGTCTAAGCTCCCTATCATTATGATTAGTTTGGGCTTTATCCTACAAAATCCTTTATCCTACAAGAATAGAAGCCTCTATGAACGTTGATTATAATGTTTTCTGTCTCGTCTTTGGAGACGGCATAGACGGTCTTTACCAGGCTTCACTCCCAAGTTCCGTAATTTGGTTAGCATTTAAAACTGGTTATTGTCCAACACTAATCGAGTCGTACAGCGTTGATAATTTCAACTCTGTCCGTACTTGTAATCAAATCGTGCAGCGTTGATTTCAGCTCTGTCCATACTTCTGATCGATTCGTAGGGCGTTGATGATTTCAGTTCTCTCCGTACTTCTGATCGATTCGTAGGGCGTGATGATTTCAGTTCTGTCCGTACTTCTGATCGATTCGTAGGGCGTTGATGATTTCAGTTCTGTCCGTACTTCTGCCAGATCAGTTCATTATTCGACAGTTAGTCCTCTTCCATTGTTGTTGTTGTTGTTCTTCTTCTTTAAATTTACTTTAAAATCAGAGGGCCCTGGCAGGCGTTCGTAAAAGAGAGTCTGCTTATCTAACTGGGAACCTGTGCTCTATTTCATTAATCTAGGTGCTTTCACAATATCTCCCCCAGGATGATGTCACAGGACAGTTCATTATTATTTTTTTTAGAGTGGTAAGAGCGGGTTTCCAGGCTTTCTGATTCTTTTAACTACCCCAAAACATCTAGAAATGGGCCTAATCACAACCCACCTACGTCCCGCGAGAGAGTGCAGCCTAGGTCTCACGACTGCATGCAGCCTATCTGCCACCCCGTAAAATATTCGACTGTTTTGGGGGGTGATATTGGAATAGAACCTGACTGTATTATTATACTACGAATCATATTGTTTCGTATATATATATATATATTTTAAAATTAACAACGCCCCTTTGGTTATATATTTTCTGCTAGCCTTCCCAACAACACAAAATTCATGCCTGAGGTTGGCAACGGACACATTGCCACGGTGGTACAGAGCGACACCATGTTCATGAATGGTCTTTACAACGGGTACAACAAGACAAGCCATAGAGCCAGAATTCCATCTACTGCCGGGTACAGCATCGACAAAGTTCTCCCAGCTGAACTGACCAGGTCCTACACCTTAGATGTAGGCAGAGGTAAGGGCTTACACTCTGTTGAGTGGAGGGAAAATGTCATCACCATCAAGAGCCGTGCGGATCGGCGTGGGCCATCATGCCTCTCTACAAATTGCGATCTCCAGTAACACGTAACTGTTTCTAACATCCAGGGCCGGAATAACCGTTGACAAGCACACAAAGCACGTGTTTAGAGCATCACAAAAGGAGGGGCTACCATATCAGATTTAAATAGTCGGAGCTGAGCGTTTATTTTCTCAGTTGAAGCGTATTTATTTTTAGATTAGTTTTGAGGATCAGATCCAAGATCTTGCAATTGAAAGAAAAGTAGGAGAAAACTGTTCAGATAGAAATAATGTGAAAGTATACAAATTATAGACATTATTTTCTGTTACAGTAAGTTATTTTTTATTTCGATTAAAAAAATATTTTACGGTAATTAATGTTTATATTCTGAATGGCGTATATAATGGGGCACTAGTATCATTCTAAAACATGGACCCTTGACCGGGGGTGCCCATGTGTATAGGGCCAGGCGCTTATCAGTGTATGTCATGTGACCATTTGATTTCATTCCTGTGAGTAGCTGTCGTTGGGGCCCCAGTCCACTGGTCTGTCCAGAGGACTATATTGCCTTTAAGACGGCTAATATAAAAAGGGCGGGGGGGGGGGGTGTGTGTGAAGGGGATAGCACCAAAATATTTCAAGTGCATAGGGCATCATAAGTCCTAATCCAACCCTGCTAACACCCCTCCAAAGATGAAAAAAGGCTGTCAAGAATCTTCTTCTTGTTGTCTTCGTTTATCTCTCTTTCGTTGAAGCCCAAATGTGTGCAGACAAAAAGTTCACAAACCACGCATGCATTTTCCCTGGTAAAACTAACATAACTTTTAACGTAGGTGATTTTATATTATGTTAGTAGGATGAATTTACTTGTTTCATTATGTAAAGTTGTGAGTTACTGTAGAGTGAATATGAGCACATAAAGCGATGTAGGCTAGGTAATAAACTGAGCAATCTAATTATGGCGTATTATTTGTAAAATTAATAATAATTGTGATTTTTGCTATTGTACAGGTTTGTTTACAGAATCACACTTGAGTGATGACGCCAAAATCTCCTTAAGAACGTACGCCCACAGACTGTATACTTCAACCCTGGTCACAGAGCTAGTAATTTCTCGTCGTAATAACGACACTGAAGTGGGTGCTCTTGTGCGTTTAAATTCCGGAAGTCCCAGTGAAGACATTGACTTTAAGGACTTGAGCGACGGGTAGGGTTGAAATGTCTAACAATACTTTTTCTGTAAGTCACCAGCTTACACACACTCAAACACAATTACATACATTTTGTATGACTAAAAGCACATATTTTAGCAATTTTGTCACACTCAACATATCCCTTGCAACGCCTTTTCATCGCAGCGCTATATTTTGTTACAAAAACGAAATTGTTCGGCTATTTGATTTGGCTGCTAACAGACACTCTAACACAACGAGAAAGAAGGGCAGACCCGGTGTTAATCGAAAGAGAGGATTACCATGCAAATCGTGGACAGAGGGAATAACGGAGTCCTTCGAGAAAACCTCCACATATGAAGCGCATAAACAGGCTCTCTCCCACAAACCATACTTCACCCGCACTGAATTACAAGTTACATCAGGCAGAGGTCGCTGTTACGACTGTCCGTGTTATAACTTATGTTGATACTGAACGGGGTATCTGGGATTTTCCCGGTTGATATACTATTAAGATTGAGATTTTTAGTCTAAGTGTGTCAAGCCTTCAGGGAGCAGCCCGGAGGTGAACAGAGCCACTCACACACTCTCCTGCAGTTTATATTTCCCTGCTACATCACAGGGAGCTCCCGTGGTGTAGCGGCTAGACGCTGTCCTGCGGATCCGAAGATCGTGGGTTCAGTTTCTGACGAAAAAGAGTTTTTTTTTTAAAAATGATCTTGGCTTCCATGTTGACCCAACCTCAAATGGGTACCAGGTAAAATTATGGGAAAAAAAAGGTGGCCAGTGCGACGTTGAACACATCACTAACCGAATGTCGATTGGTCTATAAAATATATGGTCAAGCCCTATGTGCCCAATCCGCATGGTGTGAAAAAAAGATCATGCAAATTACACACTCGACACCGGAAGGTCCGAGAGGGCCAAGATGAGACAACTCACTTCGCACCACAAACAAAGTTTAAAGTTTAAACAACGGACCAACATCATGGCACATGGGGAGTAACCCATAAGTGCTCCGTTTTTTCTTCTAACTCAAGTCTGAGCCCCAAAAATCTCAGCACAATGCACATTCTCTGTAACACGGGCGAGGATCCTGAAATACTTTAGGTAGATTTTAAACTCTAAATTCTGCACGGGTAGCGCGGTTAGGCTACTCTTTTCGATTTCAAACTGCTGAAGGATTTTTTACGTGCGCAACAATGTACACGGGCGTCCGATCTCACTACCGAGAGACCAGTCAACGGGAACAAATCCCAGCCCTTACCGGGGATTGAACCCGGAACCTCTAGCACTCGGAGCGGATACCACGCAGCCCTCTCAATTGTCAAGGTAAAGGAGAGTGAACTAGAGACAACGGGAGTGGGGTGGGGTGGGGTGGGGTGGGGTGGGGTGGGGTGGGGGCTCGAAACTGACTTGCTTCGGATGTCCTGTTTACATCTTAAAATTTTAATAGGATATTCTGTTTTACCTCAAGATACTATGGTCACATGATTAAAATGGATTTTTTTACACAGACATAAATATATGATAACGGTATAATATTCTTTCAGGCTCATACACGGCAGGACTCTTACAGCCGAGTACCCGGAGATTGCAGGCACCACGGAGTTTTATATGAAAGTGTCACCATCATTACATGTTAGTGTTGTCTCTAGGAAGATTGCAGATTATGTAACTACTAGATAGAACATAGGTTATAAATAAAGGGTCGCGGGGAAGAGGAGTCGAAGTCTCTTCGTGGCGAATTGGTCTAGCCCTACGCCGCCTCGCACTCTGAATGTCGTGGGTTCGTTTCACAGACACATCACTCAGTTCAGGAGAGCGTTTTTTTTTACAGAAATTCTTATGTTCAGCTCTGGAGTTACGAAGTTTGTGTTTTGTGTGACCTTTTCGCCGGGCGGCTAGCCTATTAGCGGTAAAAGACCGATCCAAATGGGATAATTTGGAGCAATAAAAATCGACCTTCTCGACTTTAAATTATTTGGGGAGCATAAGTTCAGTATAAAATGTCACAGATATAGAAACTGATAAACTCACGATGCCTTGTCTGGTACTGAGTGTGTTGAAGCTTTAAATAAAATGGGTAGGTTATAACATAAATCCATCATCGGCGACCGGGTTGCCCATTGGCTTGCCAGTAGACGACTTCGTCGCTGGTCAGGACAGTATTTGGGTCTGTCTCTTTTGATCGCATCAACACTACAAGAGTCCCATTCAGGACTATTTGGTGGCGAGAAATGTTAAGCCATTTTATAATAGAGAAAATAACATAAGCCACAATTATAACCAAAGCTCCCTCTTCGGGGATGCTGGTTGAACTGACGATTTTTAAAATATATTTATCTCCTGAAAAACGGACGGACAGAAGAACGTGAATCTTTGAGATTTGGAAAATTAGTAACACAAATTTTTAAGCGATGGAGATGTGCTTTTATAGCTGACTGATGAGAAAGCCATAAACAGAAAACAGAATGATGAAGATGTCTTGGAAGAAACTGATTCACGAAAAGAACTGATTGCCCACAACAGAAGGAGACTACCTACATTTTTTTTTAAAATGAGAAGGAGAAAACTGGAGTACATCGTGCAAGTGGGAAATGTGGAGGGAGAAAGAGGTAGAAGGAGACCGCGGACGAATATGCTGGACAGTTTGACGTGTCATTGAAGATCATCTGTGACAGAACTGACTGAAAGGTTGTAGACAGACATAGCTACCAACGCCACGTGGCATTGATTATACAAAGAATGAGATTAGAACAGGTAAAACAATGAGTAAGAAAAGGATGAAATTTATCAACATTTTTTTTTCTAGATATAGGACAATTTGTTTTTGAAGTATTGTCTCTTACAAATAAATAATCTAAATCAATTTTCTAAGGGAGTTGTGAGACTGAGCCCCGAAAATCTGACCGAAACGTTTCTGGCTGTGACAGTTATTGACGTTCATCAAGAGGCAGTAGAAGCAGAGTATGCCGAAGGTGTGTAGGGAGTTTGTCTTGTGTGTGTTCTAGTTGTTCTCATTGCTGTGTGATACTTCTGAGAAAATTTACTCATCATCATCAAGTGTCCTGACGACTAACGTGGACTATCATGCCTTTCCACAATCTGCGATTTTTAACAGCATGTATCAGTTCGTGTGCCAGCATTTCTCCATACTGTGAAAAAAGGTTGTTTAGAATCTTGTCGCTTTGTCTTCCTTTCTCTGTCTCTCTTTCCACAGTTCTGTTTAGTGGCCATACCATAATCCAGTTTCTTTCTTTTTATAACATGACCAAAGTTTTGTCTGTCCGAGAAATTAGAAAGAGTCTTGTTTAAAACCACATCTCCGAGGCCTCAAGAAATTGTTTAATTTCTTTGTTTATTGTCACAGGATTCACAGCCACGTGGCCCTGTTTGGCATAGGATAATTCTTTCCCCCTCATATTTAGTTAGTTAGTTAACGGCAGATTATTCTCATTACACATCGGATAAGTCCATAAGCGCTCGGATCCAATCTTCAGTTTAGCGAGCGGCAATTGATAACACAGGTTTTGTGTTGGTGTACTATTCTTCTTTGGCTACCTGTATAATGTTCATATTTACCAACACTGTGTTTCGCCATGATGACAATAAACACGTCAAAGCTGCAGCTCGCTGTTGAACATATTTTCAAGATGGTTTCAGCTCAGATACACGAAACTCCGTAACACCGGCGAAAATCTTGGGGGGGGGGGGGAGAGGGGGGTTGGGTGGACATCCCTTGTTACTTTTGCATCCCACTAACTATAAACAATACACGAATTCTATTTTCGTTATGAATAATAAGTTGCGGTTAGAAAACACAACTATGACGGCTGTCATCTTGCCCCAGATCGCCAGTTATATTGTTTTATTGCCTAAAATTGTTCTTTATTTGATAAAATTCAGCTTGAGCCTGATAATGTCAAACTGCTAAATATTTATCTGGCGCTCAGGAGCTGATCATAGTCATCATTAAACAGCAAGTCCTGTACAGAACGTCGCTCTCCGCCCTATGTGCTTGCATAGCCAATACATCTTCAGTGTCTTGTATCCACACTTGCGGAAGTCTGCCCCTGTCTCGTTTCCGGAAACCGCACCCTAGCTCATCATTCTCTCGATGCCACAACGACGTTCAGGATGCTGTTTATGAGCCAATTCTCCCCTTTGCTCAAATCTTCAAGGATGTCGGTGTGTGTGTTGCTTCGAGATAATCTCCTGCTGGACTAAACATTTACCTGCGACTCGGAAACTGCTTAAGGATGACAGTTTTGTTCCGCCTTGTCGAATGGATAAAAGCACGGGTGGCCGTTACTGGAAGATTGGCCTCTTCACTTACCCGCCTCCTTTTTTTTTTTTTTTTGTTTAAAAAAAAAGGAGGAATGGGAGGGGTAAGTAGTTGAGGCGGCCACCTACAGTGTATAAAAATTCATGACTGACTGACTGGCCTTCTACCCCACCAGGACATCACACAAGCGATAAACACCCGATGACACGAAGTGCCACCATGTGGATGAGGATCGCCGTGGAGAGGTCCCAGAAACCGCGTTCAGACAATTGGCCATTTTAATGGCCTGCCTATATTGCGGCCCCTGGCAAAAGCCAGAGTGGTGCTTCAAATAACAAGAAAATTCGTCCTAAAAAAGGACGAAACTGGATTATAAATGGTGTATATAAAAGTTCATTTTAAAAGTATGCGTTTATACCTTTCTTATTAATTCAAGTATGTGTTGATTTATGTTTAAAATATATATATTTTTTTAGATTTAGCATGTTGCTATTACAACTACCGCTGCTGCTTCTACTTCTATAGCAGGAAACAATAAGACGACAACGAAAATAAAGGGACGAGAAGGAGCCTGAGAAAAAGATAAAAAAGAAGAAGATGACAAAAAAGGAAGAACAGGAGATGGAAGAGAAATAATTAACATGATGATGATGATAATAAACTGACTGACTGACTTTCTACCCCACAAGGACATCACACACGCGATAAACACCCGATGACACAAAGTGCCACCATGTGGATGAGGATCACCTTGAAGAAGTCTCAGTAACCGCGTTCAGACAATTGGCCATATTTATGGCCTGCCTATATTGCGGCCCCTGGCAAAAGCCAGGGTGGGGCTTCAAAGAACAAAAAATTTCGTCCTCAAAAGGACGAAACTGGATATTTTGATGATAATAAACTTGGGGATGAGAAGAAAGTAAGAAAGAAACAGAGCTAGAAAAGGGGTCAGCAAAAAGCACATATGGGGCATATGTGCTCTATATAATACATAGCTAACGCCTATTGCGCGATTTCACCAACAATTATGCTATTTTTGTCCCCAGTGATCAAGGCCTTTGAAGAGGGCACCTTGCTTTCTAGCCACGTTAATGAGTGGAACAAGCTGTGGAGCAGCGGCAGGATTGATGTGGAAGGGGACGCAAACATTGCCAAACTTAATTACGCATCCTTGTATTATATACTTTCTTCTCTCCCTTCAAATGGGAGCCGTAAGGATTGGCCTTTCATTGGACTCTCTCCGTGTGGACTGGCGCATGGGAGAAAAGATCAGGTAGATCTCGAGAGAATTTATTGTATCTTCTAGTTTCTCTCTCACATAATTTAAGGTTATTTATGAATCTATCTTGTATCCTTTTGTTTATCTTCTAGTAACCCCCATCTTTAAGGTTTTTACTCAAAGTCGTCCCCATGTGAGACGTAATTTTTCGTTATTTTGAAGCCCCACCCTGGCTTTTTTCTGGGGGCCGCAATATAGCCTGACGGTTAAACGCGGTTTTTGGGACCTCTTTACGGGTGATCCTCATCCGCATGGTGGCACTTTGCGTCACCGGCTGTTTATCGCTCTGTGTGATGTCCTAGTGGGGTAATATGTACTTACTTACCTATCTTTGAGGTTTGAACAACAAATCAACATCATGGCACAAGGGTTACAACACAAAAGCGCTCTGTACAATTTCTAACTCAAGGTTGAGTCTAAAGAATCTCAGCACAGTGCACGAACTCCGTAGCACCGGCGAGGATCCTGAAATACTTGGGGCAGATTTTTAATTCCAAATTTCGCTCGGGCAGTGTCGTTACGCTACTCTTTTCGATTTCAACTGCCGAGGGAATTTTTTTTACGTGAGCAACAATACACACGGGCGTCCGATCTTACTACCCAGGTGAAAATTACTAGAAATGCGCGTGAAAAAAATCCCAGCCTGAACCCGAGACCCCCAGCACTCGAGGTGGACACCATGCCTCGAGACCACTCAGCCCCTCTTTATCATCGTTTATGTGTCCTACAAGTCTCGTTAGAGTTGATCTGAGTTAAGAACTAACATCACAGCATTCGGGACATTCCCATAAGCACTCCGTCCCCATCTGCAGCAGCCATTTCAGAGTTCCAATTCCCATGTTATCAGTAGGTCTGCATGTGTGTCGGTCTGGCATTTCCCTTGAGTACTGAGGGTCAGCCAAATCCCCTGGGCACTTCCCACTGCATCATTTTCTTCAGACCATGAGTATCTACTTATGCTACCGCATCGCTCCTAAAGGCTCCACATAACATTAAGCTTGTCATGCATCAATGTACCACTTAGTGGGGCGGAACCAGCGAGTCTGTCCGTCTGTTTGTTTCTCAACCTACCCTCAAATCGTCGAAAAAATATCATGGTGCTTGCCTCTGCATGCAAAATGCCTGTCCACAATTCTCACGGAAATATACAAAGCCGAACGAAAAGTAGATCAGCGAACTTCACAATAGAACAAGCACAAACGAAAAATGAACATTGTGGCAACATAGCCTTTATAAGCACATACATAAATCAAGCAAAACCACAGAACACACACACACACACACACACACACACACACACACACAAACTGACCTGAGGTATCCTAAAGCAGCCAGGTAGATGTCTTGCCAGGGGAATTTTCAGATTGCTCTGTTAGTCAGTTATAATCATGACATGTGTATGCAGCTGGTTCTGAAGTCAGCGGAAGGCTGCGATGACTGTCTCCTCCTCCATTCTGAAGTTAGACGTTGCGGTACTGCTTTATAGTCACATCTCATGCTGTATTTAACACTTCCTGGCATCTGCTTAACTGCAATCAGTCCCTATTTATGACATCACGTTTCATGATTAGTTGGATTTAGCAAGTAAAGCTTTTTAGAAGATGACGCAGTCTTACTCAAACGCTCGTTATTTATATCTTACGACATGTATGATAAGTAAGATGCAGGATATTTTTTTAATGACTGTATTTCTGAAAATATTTCCGTTACTTTCATTTAGGTTAAGGCAACATATACTGCTGCTATGTCTTATTTCGAGTGTTGTTTCCCACACTACAGCTCTATTCACGATCAGTTCTACTGGTTAAATAGCTAACACTATTTGCATGAGGGACGTGGATGTAAGAAAATGACACCATAGATTGTTCAACCACCACATTAGAATACCTGCCACTGTTAAGGAACATATACCCAACCGAAAGTACTCTTTCTTTAATAGTAAACACCATTATAGCTAAGATCATTTACCTGCACACCGGTATATAGCAGTGATATTCTAAACTAACGGTACGTGGCGGTTGAAATATGACGTAATACACAAATGTGATTGAGATGCGCAAATAATTGATTTCAAAAAGTATACAGTAATTTAACATACACCTTATATTATACTATTACTTATATTGGTTGTTTCCGTATTCACCCTGGTAACAGACGTTCTTCCGTCGTACTTACTTTCGTTTGTCGCTCGGGACTGCTCCCTGAAGTTCTGACACTTAGACAGACTCAGTCTGGATGGCAAATCAGCAGGGCAAATGTCAGATATCCTGTTCGTCTGCTTACCCTTCTTGTTCTCAGAATTGATCGGCTACAAACTCCAGCGGAAAGTTCTGGTGTCGGCTGTGGTCTTGTTCCAGAACTTCAGTGTTGCGTGGACATCCGTTTTACGTATGCAGCTTGTGCAGACTGTTAGTTCATTGCTTCTCATGCAGTTCGTTCTGACTTCGAAGAAAACGTCGGTGGTAATCTAAGTCGGCCAGGCCCCGGGTGGGGAACTTGTTTCCAAGACCAACGCGAAGATGTGTAGATAGGTCTTGACCAGCAGGCAAACAGGTCACGGTGCTCCACTAGGCTTGGTTCAGTCCAGTACCCCGTTATCCAAGATGTGGTCTTCTGCCTCCATAGAAGGTGGGACACACGTGACGGCCACACCACCTGGCGTTGTCTGTATACCAATGCGAGCATGCATGTACATACGCTACTATGTGTGTATGTGTGTTTTGGTGTGTGTGTGTGTGTGTGTTTAGTGTGTTAGTGTGTGTTTGTGTGCATAGACAGACAGACAGACAGACAGACAGACAGACAGACAGACAGACAGACAGACAGACAGACAGACAGTTAGACAGACAGACAGACAGACAGACAGACAGACAGACGGACGGACAGACAGACAGACAGACAGACAGACGGACGGACGGACGGACGGACGGACAGACGGACGGACGGACGGACGGACAGACAGACAGACAGACAGACAGACAGACAGACAGACAGACAGACAGACAGACAGACAGACAGACAGACAGACAGACAGACAGACAGACAGACAGACAGACAGACAGACAGACAGACAGACAGACAGACAGACAGACAGACAGACGGACGGACGGACGGACGGACGGACGGACGGACGGATGGACGGACGGACGGATGGATGGATGGATTGATGGATGGATGGATGGCTAGATAGATGGCTAGATAGATGGCTAGATAGATGGCTAGATAGATGGCTAGATAGATGGCTAGACAGATGGCTAGATAAATGGCTAGATAGATAAATGGATAAACAGATGGATATATAAGTGGGTAGATAGATGGGTAGATAGATGGGTAGATAGATGGGTAGATAGATGGATGGATAGCTGGATGGATAGATGGGTAGATAGATGGATGGATAGATGGATGGATAGATGGAAGGATAAATGGATGGATAGATGGATGGATAGATGGATGGATAGATGGATGGGTAGATGGAAGGATAAATGGATGGATAGATGGATGGATAGATGGATGGATAGATGGATGGATAGATGGATGGATGGATAGATAGATAGATCTCTCCCCTGAGTTAGTTTCGACAGTGGTATTGAGAAGCCGACCGCCTAGAAGCAATGGCCAACTATTGGACGTAAATTTGCCTAGAAAAATTACAACCGCCAAAAACTGCGGGGGCTGGTTCTGCAACGTCCTGTGAAGGATACGCAACTAACTTTATACACCTCTCCCCTCAACACACACACACACACACACACACACACACACCACACGGGAGCACACGCGCACACACACACTAATTCAGCGAAACTCCAATATTCATTCTTATTTTGTTCATGAGGAAAGGATGAATTTTTAAAAAATGACAATTATTGGCGAGGATGAATACTGGAGTTTCACTGTATGTGTATGCGTGTGTGTGTGTGTGTGTGTGTGTGTGTGTGTGTGTGTGTATGTACGCGCGTGTGGGTGTGCGTGCGTGTGCGCTCTAAAAAAAAAGTTCCATAACTCTAGCCACAATGTTGCCAATAAAGACGTGTCGTTTGCATATCTAAGACTGTATTCCCCGCTGAAATCAGCCACTGGAAATTTTCATTTGTCATCATATCTCGTCATTTCCTTGTGGGATGCAATTTTTAGCTATTTTGAAGCCGCACTTTGGCTTTTGCTGGGAGCTCTAAATATCGCCGGGCCTGAAATATGGCCTAACGTATAAACGGGATTTCCTGGACCTCTCCAAGCGTGATCCTCATCCGCATGGTGGCACTTTGTGTCACCGGGTGTTTATCTCTCGTGTGATGGTCTGTTGGGGTACAACTTACATATATATACAAATCAGCCAAGTTCTGTTAAGGCCACGGCTTCTCAAACAGGTTGATGACAAGTTTTTAAATTTTGACAAATTATTAAGTCGTAAATGTTATAGGCAATTCTAATTAGTGCAATCATTTCGTCTAATTAGTGCAATCATTTCGTCTAATTAGTGCAATCATTTTGTCTAATTAGTGCAGCACATCGACTCTAGGATAACTATCTGACAGAATGTCTGTGACTAAAACAGATACTATTCTCTACATAAGTGTTTCCAAAACTTTTCTTAGTCTCGGCGACTTTTTTCAATGACAATTTTTACACGGCGCACTAACCTAAGGAAAAGTATGACTATTTGTATGTAAGAGATTTGAAACAAAACAAAATCGCGTATCTTCGAATATTTCGCAGCGCCTCTGTGAAGAGGTCGCGGCTCTCTGGGGCGCCGCGGCGCACAGTTTGGGAATCTCTGCTCTACACTATTTATCATCATCAATTTCCACTTCTGCCGTTAAGCGTTGTGGGGAGGAACAGTTTGTGATCCATTGCTTGATGGGGAGCAATGGCTATTGTCATTCCATGTCGATGTAGAAGCTCTTTAATGTCATCAATCCATGTTCTCCTAGGGCGGCCTCTTGCTTTTACTTTATATATTCTCACGTGTAGCGTCTGCGTTAGTGGTTGTTCTGGATGCATTCTTACAAGATGACCAAACAATTTGACCTTCTGTTTCCCGGGAAATGTGCGGCATGGTGTTGCTCCTACAGTCTGTCTGATAATATCATTTTTGACTTTTTTTTTTCTTTCTCGGATAGTTAAATTTGTGGCTTTTCTCAGGCATCTCATTTCACAGGTGTTAACTTTGCGTAGGTCAACCTTTAATAATGTCCAAGTCTGACACTAGTAGCACAGTGCTGGTATGAATATGTTGTTTATAATCTGTTTCTATGCGCTATTAATTAGGTTTGGATGTCTTAATAACGGTGTCAGTTGGTATATAAGTGCATTGGCTCGTTGGCTTCTTGTTTTTATTTCTCGATCTATTCTTTCATCCTCCAAGAACATATTTCCTAGATATTTAAATTCTGTAACTTGTTTCAGAGAGATATAATTCAACAAGATATGCAGCAGACAAGGATTGTTGATCTGCATTACTTCAGTTTTATTAGTATTATTTTCATTTTATATCTTCTTCTTGTTTAACTTTACCTGTTCAAATGTTCTTGCAGTCTACTCCTCTCATTGTAGAACAGACACTGATCGTCTGCAAATATTAGCTCGTTTAGTAATGTTTCATCAACAAGGATAAATCACAGAAACCCCTTTTAACAGCTGCAGCGGTTACACTGAATTCAAGCTGTACGATAGATATGCCAAGGAAGATATATTTTTGGGGAGTTGCCTAGTTGGTTACGTTCTTAGCAAGTCAGGTTCGAGATTTTAAAAGCTTGAGCTGGATGTGATTCTTAGTTTTATCACACGCCATATGACAGAGGCACGGCACTATACTTGTCTAGTGTGCCCTATCTTTTTACTTTTTTTCTGTGAGTGCTGATCAATACATCGTGTCTTGTTATTAATTATATGTATTATACGGTTACACTGAAACACCATGTGGTTATAGTTTTAGATCAGGATATATAGCTTTTTATTTTTTTTGTCCAAGAGGAAAAAGGGTAGGGGAGATCTATCTATGGTGGGGGCGTGGGGATTGTGCCCTAACCTTTAATTTTCAGCGTTCCTGTAGTCATACTTCTTTTTTTACTTTCTTGACTGTTGTAAGACATCTGTGATAACTCAGTAAGCCATACTCTTTCGTCGCTTGATAGTGTTGCCTTCTTCTAGGACGCTAGAGGTAACGTGTTCTGGGATCAAGAGATCTGGATGTTCCTACCAATAGCCCTGCTCTACCCTGACCTGGGACGCCTCATTGTAGAAACAAGGACCAGAATTCTGGAGTCGGCTAGAAAAAACGCTCAGCAAACAGGCTGGGAGGGAGCATTGTATCCTTGGGAGTCGGCTTTCACAGGTTATCACCATCATCATCATCGACATCGACATCGACATCATCATCATCATCATCATCATCATCATCATCATCATCATCATCGTCGTCGACATCATCATCGACATCATCATCATCGACATTATCATCATTATCATCATCATCGACATCAGATTCATCATCGACATCATCATCACCATCATCATCATCGATATCATCATCATCGACATCATCATTATTATTATCATTGTCATCGACATCATTATCATTATTATCATCGTCATCGACATCATCATCATAATCGTCATCGACATCATCATCATCATCGACATCATCATCGTCGTCGTAATCGACATCATCATGATCGACATCGTTATCATCATCATCCTCATCATCATCATCATCATCTTTTCATCACCATCATTATAATTGACATCGAAATCATCATTTTCATCGACATCATCATCGTCATCGACATCATCATCATCGACATTATCATCCTCGTCATAATCGACATCATCATCGTCGACATCGTCATCATCATCATCCTCATCATCATCTTTTCATCACCATCATTATAATTGACATCGAAATCATCATTTTCATCGACATCATCATCATCATCATCGACATCATCATCATCCTCATCCTCATCATCGACTTTATCATCATCGACGCCATCACCATCATCTTTTGTGTCGTTATGTCACCTTGCAGTCAAGTCTTCCATTCCATTCCATTCTGTCCTATACAAACTTCTAGATTTTATAGCTGGAATCCAATCCTGCTCCTTTGGCTTTTTTCAGCAATTCACACCCTATGGTTTCGATTGGATTTCTTCCCTTCGTCAGTCTATTTGTTTCGGTAACGATGCAATTGGTTGTCCAGCTATTTGTCTTATTTCTTCATCATTCTTCAATTCGAACCATTTAATGTTCAATAAAGCCCTTATCAATGGTTATAGATTCACGAATACTTCTTTTGAAATATGTATTCTTCTTCATTGCATTCATAGGCTGTGAGCTCTGGCGTAAAGTTCGGATTGTTCGTATACCTTGGGACTTTAGTGATGTTTCAGAACCTGCGTGTTGCCAGCACATCCGTTTTACAGATCAGTTTATTTGTATGCAGAACCTTGGTTCCTTGCTTCTCAGGTAGATGAAGTCCAACTTTGAAGACGTCCCCTATTAGCCGACTTCTACGACATGCTTACTGGGGAGGCAGTGGGTCTGTTCTCTCCCCCCTCCCCCACAATGGTGCCCCGGACTTTCACGGGGAAGAAAATAGTTCGAAGGCGTAAAACATGAAAATATTAACATCAAGAGGCAGAGGGAGACCTAGAAAACGATGGATTGAAGGAATCCCAACCTGTGATTTCTCGACATCACAGCCTACCAAGCAGCCGAGAACTCCCTGGCTCGGCTAACGATTCTCTGTTACACTGACCGCCAAGCAACACCAGGCAGATAGTAGCAAAAGAAGAAAGATAAAGAATTTACTGAAATATTTGCTTTTGTGAAGTACGGCATAAAAAATGTGACAAATAAGAATATCAACACTGCAACTGACATGCATGTCGCAATGGATGACTAAGGAGGGTTGGGTGCCACTGGTTCCTCCATGCGATAAAAAAACTTCAGCCTAAAATCTAGAAAAATGTCGTTAACAAATCTACACCAGGTGGGTTAGGTTATGTCTACTATTTTGAGATGTAAGGAAGAATTACAAACGAGAGAGATAGAAAAATGAACAGACAATAGGTGGTGTAGGGGGTGAACATGTATTTCTAACTATATTTACATTGTCGAGCCACTACACTTTATGAATAACTAGCCTGTAAACGTCCAATCGTCGGCTCTGTGGCTAAGTCGATGCGAACGCTTCGTAATGCCGGGATGCCGGATTCGATCCCAGCTGCGGGTCATGCGCCTTGCGTTGGTTTCGACAGTGGTATCAAGAAAGCCGACCCTCCAGGAAACAATGGCAAACTACTGGACGTAAATTTGCCTAGAAAAACCACACAACAGCCGGGGGCTGCTGGGGTTGATTCTGCAACGTCCTGTAAAGGATACGCAACTAACCTAACCTAAATGTCCAATGATGGTTAGTTGTTGTTCTGTAGTGAGGGGAGTGCATATAATTATATTCGAGTGATCAGATTTGGCTGGTGTCTGTGGCTTAGGCGTTGCAAACGCTCTTCATAATGCCGGGATGCCGGGTTCGATCCCAGCTGCGGGCCTTGCGCCTTGCGTTTATTTTGACAGAGGTATCGAGAAGCCGACTGTCCAGTAAGCAATGGCAAACTACTGGACGTAAATTTGCCTAGAGAAACCACAACAGCCAACAAAATGATCGGGCTGATTCTGCAACGTCCTGTAAAGGATACACAGCTAACATTTTTTGATCTGATTTGAGAAGCGTGAATTTCTTTCCAACAGCATTGTCAGCGAGTTTTTTGTTCACTAAATTCCATATGATTCTTATGAATGTGTCACGAGTTATTGTGGTCACGATTATCAGGTGAGTAAAATTTCAGGTCTACACGGGAAATCGATTTTACGCCTGTATCCTTCTGGCTAATTCGACAACCAGACAGATTTTTACCTAATTCTCGAGCCTATTTCTTTTCATAACTTTCCTACTCAAGTGTGGCAATATGTTTATTTGTAGGTCTAGAAACCTGTCCATTAGCGGAGTGTAGCCTGTACGTTCACATAAACGGCGATGTTTCATTCATGATACGCCAGTACTGGCAGTTGACAAACGACAAGGAGCTGATGATCAATGGATCAGGGGCGGAGGCAGTGTGGGAGACGGCAAAATACTGGTGCTCCAGGGCCACCTATGAATCAATTACAGATGCATACAGGATAACAGGCCGGTGAACTTTCTTTGTTGTCCTAATTTGTGTCTTTGTGGTGTTTTATTGACACAAAAATGTAGAGAAATACGCAGCAAAGGTATAATGGAAACTAAGCAAAAATCAGACTGGTTAAAAGTTATTATTAGGAGCTGCTGTAGTGCGTAGCACAGTACCTATAGTCCGTTCCAGAAGTTCTACCCAACTTCAAAAATATGTAACTCTGCAACCGTTCTTTGTAAGTTTATGAGATTTGGCATTGAGCCTGTTAATAATAATGTCCTTCTGAGATTGTTTTTAAAAATTGTAAACAAACAGTTAGTTTTCATTTTGCCGTTTTTTTTTTTTTTTTTTTTTTTTTTTTTTTTTTTCTGCGGTAGATGAAGAAACAAACAAACATTTAGTGAACACAAATAGCACGCTTTGAGATTACTGAGTGACGGTGATCTTTTCTTTCTCCATCAAGTTGCAGGCGTTTGACTTTGAGGTGGTCATTTCCAACATTAGTCTCTCGTAATCGTCAGCTGTGGATTTTTCATTGTATGCGGGATCGGCTATCAAATTAATCGCAAAGCATTGCTGCACATGTGGTCTGATTTCCAAACAGACTCCAGACTCCGTGTGTTTATTACTGTATATTATAATAATTAGTGTTACATAAACTTTTAGTCAAACAAAGTTCAAAGAAATTCACAGCTTTAAGAATACAGCACGTGTGCAATTGTAAATTATCGACTCATAAGGACATTGGGATCTAAGGGCACATGCACATGCTTGCGTTAACCCGTACAGAAGTTTTTGAGACATTTGTTACAGTGTGAGAGCACGTCTTTTGAAATGCACTATAGATAGATGTTTGTCTACCTACCTTGAGTTCATGGAATCAAATATCCGCCGAGGTAAGTTTTTAAAATAGACCGAAGGCTCGAGGGTACTGAGGTAGACTTCGGTAACAGAATGCTTTGGGACGCGCGGGTGGAGGAGGCGGGCGGTAGGGTAGGGGGTATAATCAGGAAGGAAATGGCAATTATAGAAAACAAATTATTGTAGAAAGGTTGAGAGTAGAGCGTATGAGACGAAACACACTAAAAACACGTGATGGCAACAGCGGTCCTGAAATCCCACGCTCTCATTCAGTGGTTCTCAACCTTCATAATGCCCCGACCCTTTAATACAGTTCCCCATGTTGTGGCGACCCCCAACCATACAACTATTTTCGTTGTAACTTGATAATTTCAATAAATATCTATTTTACGATAGTCGTTGGTGACCCCTGTGAAAGGGTCGTGATTAAAAAAAAGTGTCGTGACCCACAGGCTGAGAACCACTGCTATAATTTTTTGAAGTGGGCGGATCTTGCTGGTCACACTGACCACTCCCATGACCTGTGATTCTCACGCCTCCTCCTAGCACAATATAACACTATCGTCTAGCACAGTGGTTCTCAGCCTTCCTAATGCCGCGACCTTTCAATACAGTTCCCCCATGTTGTGGCGACCCCCAAACAATTATTTTCCTTCATAACTTTAATGAATATGAGTTTACCGATGGTCTTCGGCGATTCCTGTGAAAGGGTCGTTAGATCTATTTTAAAAAAAAATAAGGTCGTGACCCACAGGTTGAGAACTGCTGGTCTAGGAAGACGAGAGGTGCCAACAAAGTTCAAGAGTCAAAATGGCTTCTTCTTCTTCTCTTCCACCTTTTACCTCATCGAAGTGTCGGGGGGGGGGGGGGGATGTATTGTTCGTTGATGAGCTCTGTCAAGAGCACTATTAAGACAGATGTTCATTTCTGTAAGGCTGTTCTTAATAGCTTAAAAAGCTTAAAACGAGGAAAGATTAATATCCTAGGAAATCAAGGCGATCGCAAAGATGTTGACCACGTCATCCTCCGATTGCTGATTGTTGAGTAAAAAATACTTGCCTAGCACAATGTACCAGATGAGTTGATGGTTCATCAAGAGTCATTCACTGCACTTTACAAATACACACTTAGTTCACTTTACGAATACACACTTAGCTCACTTTACAAACACACACTTAGTTCACATTACAAGCACACACACTTAGTTCACTTTACAAATACACACTTAGTTCACTTTACAAACACACACTTAGTTCACATTACAAGCACACACACTTAGTTCCCTTTACAAATACACACTTAGTTCACTTTACGAATACACACTTAGTTCACTTTACAAATACACACTGAGTTCACTTTACAAATACACACTGAGTTCACTTTACAAATACACTCTCACTTCACTTTACAAACACACACACTTAGTTCACTTTACGAATACACACTTAGTTCACTTGACAAATACACACTTAGTTCACTTTACGAATACACACCTAATTCACTTTACAAATACACACTTAGTTCACTTTAAGAATACACACTTAGTTCCCTTTACAAATACGCATTGAGTTCACTATACAAATACACACTGAGTTCACTTTACAAATACACACTGAGTTCACTTTACAAATACACACTTAGTTCACGTCACAAATACACACTGAGTTCACTTTACAAATACACACTGAGTTCACTTTACAAATACACACTGAGTCACTTTACAAATACACACTGAATTCACTTCACAAACACACACTTAGTTCACTTTACAAATACACACTTAGTACACTTCACAAATACACACTTAGTTCACTTCACAAATACACACTGAGTTCACTTTACAAATACACACTTAGTTCACTTCACAAACACACACTTAGTTCACTTTACAAATACACACTTAGTTCACTTCACAAATTCACACTTAGTTCACTTTACAAATACACACTAACTGTTATGACATTGTGGCTTCTGTCTGTCTGTCTGTCTGTGTCGGTCGGTCGGTCATTCTGTCTGCCCATGTATCCACGTATTTGTCTGTTAACACCTGAACACATACATATATATAGCAGCTGCCTAGAATGTTTATGACGCCACATATAACAACATCTTGTCGTTCATTGACAGGCGTCATACCCCCAGATTACCCTCACCAGTCAGTCAACGATTCGTCCTACACAAACAGCATAGCAGCCATCAATCTGGCCTTCGCCAACCAGCTAGCTCTTGAGTTTGGGAAGGTAAAAAACTTAAAATTATGTTGTTATATTAGTACAAGGGGTGCTCGAAATAAATGAATTACCAAATATCGATTGTTATTATTAGAAATGAGAAGAAAAAATACAGATTAGAGAATAAATGTTATGGTAGAATATTTTAAATATATTAATATAAATATGAATTTATATATATGTTTATATATGTATATATATATATATATATATATATATATATATATATATATATATATATATATATATATATATAATTACATTCGCCTGTGGATCCTATAAATTTAAATATCTGGGAACAATCATATCATCAGATGGAAAATGTGTGACAGAGATTAAAAGCAGAATAGGTCAAGCGAAAGCTGCAATTCAGAAAATGAAAAATATCTTATGCAATAAATCGCTCTCATTTAATATCAGAAAGAGGGTGCTAAAATGTTACATAGAACCTGTTCTGCTGTATGGCAGCGAATCTTGGAATGTCACTGAACAAATTAAGAAGAATGTGCAAGCAACAGAGATGTGGTTTCTGAGACGAATGTTACGAATACCTTGGACGGCCAAGGTAACTAACTACGACTGCTTGAAAGAGGCTAATGAAAGTAGATATCTATATACAACAATAAGAAAGAAACAAACACTGTTCTTTGGCCACATAATGAGAAGAGAGACATTGGAGAAAAACATCGTGACAACTGGAAAGTTCAGTGGAAAAAGGGGTTGAGGCAGACCAAGAGAGATGATGCTGGATTGGCTAAAACGATGGCATGGAGGTATATCATCAATAGAGGTGTTCCAGTCAACCAGGGATCGTGATCTGTGGAGACGCATGAGCGCCTCCGCCAGTTGGCAGAACACATGCTGATGTGGATCCTAAAGTCATGGGTTTCGAATTGAAAGGAGTTGGTCTTTTTTTTTAGGTCGAGCCATACTTACGTGGGTATCCAAGTCCAAGTCTAAGTCCAAGTCCAAGTCCTTTATAGAAAAACATTAAAAAGGTCGACCACGTTCAGACTGCTGCTAGCTAGCCGAGGCTGCTAACAGTCTCCGCCTATATTTGTGGTCTGGGTTATTTGCGTCACTTTCCTGACTAAATTCTAGTGTTTGCGCCATTTCTGGGCTTGATGCTTCCATCCGAATCAGACCGCTCGTCCTCCACCCTGTTGTTACTTGTGCATGTCTTCACTCGTCTTACTTGGTGTTTCCAGTTTGTTTTGTCTCCCTTTGATTTCACCAGGCGTATTTCGTAGGGAAGCGCGCTTTTCCACGTAACGTCCTTTGGACCACCATTTACAGTTTTGAAATTCTGAGTATTTTTTGTTGTTGCTAGAAAGTACTGAAAACAGTTTTTGAATTTGGATAGTTCCGAAATGTGAAAATATTCTGCGTGTGACCATAGTGGTCTTATAGTTGTCTTCCTGTAATAAGAACGGGTTAGTCAAATGGATATCAGACGAAAAACTGAGAAGTAAAGGTGGCGGCCTGATGTTAACCAACATCACCCACCGATTGGTTTAAAAAATACACGTCTAACACTATACATCTAATACGACTGACGGCGATGACAAGGACCTCTACTATATGCAGTACACTGGTTTGCTATTTTTACAAATATTTATTTCAAAACTTTATTAATTTAATATACAGTTGTAAATAAAATATTTTTCAAAAACATTACACAGAGGGAAAAGAATTAAAAAGAACAAAAAGGTAAAGCAACCACACATTTAAGTTAGAAAAGCCTTGCATACTGCTTTACGTTGATTTTAAGCTTCACCGGAAAGGTCACAAAGGGTAAGCATACTTTGGATCTTTTCTCCCAGCTATGCCGGCGTAGTGGGTAATGTACAGGGGGACAGGTTGGCTGGATCTGCACCACTGGGTGGTGAACTGATACATGACACGGCAGATGTGGTCAAGGCCCTTTGGGAACAAGCAACGGAATTAGTAGGAAACAAGATTATTGTGGCCTGGAAAGAATGAGGCACCTGGGTGTAACCAGAGGGTCTGGCTGGTTCACTACACTCAGAGAAAAGGCAAGACGGACATATAACCAGATTATGACCGTTGAAGCAGTTTACTATTTTGGTATTGCTTTCTAACGGTTAGCACCTATACCACTGTTAGCTGAGTTGAGCTGAGTCAAGAATTGACATCACAGCACTCAGGGCACTCCCATGCGTGCTGCGTCCTCATCTCCAGCAGCCAGCGCAGAGTTCCAATACTGATGTCAAAGCTATTATAGGCGCTAACCGTTAGAAAGCAATACCAAAATCGTAAACTGCTTCAGCTACTGAGTTTAGATCTTGGTTGCAACCCAGCAGGCTGTGTTTTTCCTGTGGATTGCCTTTCATTTGTGCAGCGGCTGTGTCGTGGTATTCAATATGGCCGGTAGCTGGTTTACATGTGAGCTGGTGAAATCATCATCATCATCATGTAGCAGGTCCTTTGCAGAACGTCGATCTCATCACAGTCTGCCTGAAAGAAATTCGGTCTCTCGCCAGTACTCCCACCTCATGCACTGTCACACTCAAGGAGTCACTTATATCCTGTGCCCATCTTCGTGTTGGTCGGCCCCTGCCCCTCCTTCCTGGTACCATGCCTTCTGCTATAATTTTTTCCAATCCGTCGTGGCGTTTGATATGACCAGACTATTTCAGCTTCCAAGACAGGATGCTGTTTATTAGCCAATCTTCCTTGATGTTCAGATCTTTTAATATGTCAATGTTTCTCATCTTCTTTGTCCAAGATATTCTGAAAATCTTTCTATAGCATTTCAGCTCAAAAGCCCCAATTCTCTTTCTTAAGGACTGAGAGATAGTCCACGACTTACATCCGTATGTAGCCACAGGGAAGATGCAAACTCTCAGAATTCTAATTTTGATCTCTTTGCTGCTGCTTAACCATAGACTTTTAAGGCTATTCAATCTCTGCATTGCTATATTGCTGGTGAAATACCTTATGTAATAATTCTGCGTGTCTAAAGTAACTAGCTTATTCTGCCCGACTACTTCCATCAAGGACAAACTGAATTTCTGGTGGCGATTGTTGGCTTTGGCGCCTCTAGCAACTGAAATACGCATTTACTGCATGCACATATTTCTGGATTGTTCCGGGACTAGTTTTTTTTGTTCACCAATTTTTCAAATGCGACAGTGGGTGACATTTCATTTGATTAGCACAGGAACGGAACAAGTATGGGGAAACCCGATTGCAGTGAAGTTGACACATCGAATAAGACTAAGACCAAACTAACCAAACTTAGTTAGTTAGTCTTTCCTCTTGTGTCAAGTGCGGCACATAGGGCAGAGGTCATGACTCTCCATGCATGGCGGTTCGTTGCAATCTGTTGTAGGTCTTGGATGTTTGAGTGGCCCATGAGTGAACCTTCCCTGATGATAGTTCTACGTAGGGTTTCCTTTGGTCTTCCACGAGATCTTTTCCCCTGTGGTGTCCAAATGAGGGCTTGGTAAGGAAGTCTTGATTTATCCATTCTAAGGGCGTGGCCGACATAGTTCCAGCGGCGTTTTCGAATAAAATTAGACACATACTCTTGCCTGGATTCTTGCTTTATTTGTGTATTGGTTTCGAAATCTGACCATTTGAAATTTAGTATTCTTCTAAGGCATTTATTTTCAAAACTGTCTAATTTTGTGTCTAGAGTTTTCGTTGATTTCCAGCTCTCGCATCCATAGGTTAGTACTGGAATCACACAAGAATTGAAGATCTTGAGTTTTGTGTGTTTGCTAAGTGTCTTTGATTTCCAGATGTTGGACAGTTTATTGAAGGCACTAGATGCCAGTGCTATTCTAAATGGTATTTCTGGTGCGGTATCTCCTGTAGATGACATCTTGCTCCCTAGATAAGTGAAACTGTTGACTTTTTCAAGGCTGTTGTTGTTCAGCGTGATATCAACTGATAAAAACCAAACTTATAAATGTAAATTGTGTAATAAAACTACAAGCGCTCAACAGATTATAGAACTGGTTTAGGACATGCTGGATAAAGGAATGAGTGAATGAATCAGGAACTGACATCCCTGCACTTAGGACATGGCTACACGTGCTCCGTCTCCTTTTTCAGTAGCCAACGAAGAGTTGAAATGCTAATAGTACCAACTGCAACCTGATTACAGGCCCAACCACGTTCCCCTCTCAGTGTTGAATATCTCCAAGAACCTCGCTCTACCCCCACCCCGTTGAATTAGTCTGTCAATGTATGGATTCTCTTTGTTTTACTGTACTGTCCATTTGATCTCAGACAAGTCCTGGAGAGGACATGCAACTTGCTGAATGGCCCAGATCGATCAAGGACAAAGAAAAATATCAAGGGAAAATCCACTGTCCCTGCTGACTTGGCATCTGTGCCAACCAGGCAATGTAGATACTGACCTGGTGCCAGAAACAAAAAAGAGTTGGGGCGGGGGGGGGTGGGGTGCTTACTTACCATTGAAAAACAAACCAAAAACTAAACGCAGGCTCTCTGGTTGTCGTAGGTTTAAAATAAAAATAAAAGTTAATTTAGTCAAAAGCAAGCTCAAGACACTAAATAATCCACCTTGTGACTCATTTAATTTTTGCGCAGTCAAAAGTCTTCAAATTTTGTAATCCCCAGGCAGAAAATACAACGTGGAAGGAAGTTGAAAACAAACTACATCTGCCTTACAATGCTGTAGAGGACTTTCATCCTGAATTCGACGGTTTCAATGTTCTTGATGACGTGGAAGAGGCGGACGTGGTGCTCCTGGGGTTTCCCCTCATGGTGCCTATGAATATATCCACGAAGCGTAATGACCTGACCATTTACGAGAGAGTGAGTGCCGTACGCATTTAGTCCTTTGCCTAAACGCCCTCTCTTTCTCTACACAAACGCATACTAATAACATATACTCACAACTAGGGCTGTACCGAATATTCGCTTCATATTCGCTTCGGGGCCGAATAGTGGACCTATTGACTATTCGGTATTCGGCCGCATAGTTGCGGTCGGGCCGAATGCGAATAGTAGTTACCTTAAACCCACTTCTGCATACACGGCCTTAATGCTGACAACATGAAACGATTGGTTTTGTTGAAAGCTAATGCAGCTTTCTTGCATTAACTAAGCTGTCAGTGACAATTTCCAAGTTTAGTTACTTGTTATAATACTTAGGATTATTTCATTTCTAGTTATTAGTTACCAGAGACTGAAGGATGCAAAACATAAAATGTTTTTAAATGTTAACTACTCTGTAAGAATACTAACTAGACATGGAAAGAATATAAACTCCGGCCACATCCATGTCGATAATATAAAAATCAAACGAACGGAAATATATAAGTACTTGTGTGCAAATTTTAACTGCTCGAACATGCTAAGAGAAGAAATACAATCTAGAATACAATCTAGAAATAAAGTATATTATGCCCTTCAACATCTACTAAAGTCAAAGTGTCTGTCTCGCAACACCAAGATCAAAATATTTAAAACGTTGATAAGACCAGTCGTTTTATTTGGCTCTGAAACTTGAAGCAGAAATAAAAGAGATGAGGCCTTATTAAAGGTTTTCGAAAACGGTCTTAGACAAATCTTTGGACCCATCAAAGATGCTAACAGCTGGGAATGGAGAGTGAGAAGCAACAACGTAAAACATAATCTGTTTAAATCACCATTGATCACTGGCATCATGAGAGCTAACAGACTAAAATGGTTGGGACATATTGAAAGAATGTCAGATGACAGAGAAGTAAAACTGTATACACCTGAGAGAGGAATGGGCGTAGACCACGAGGCAGACAAAAAAAAAGAATTTCGAGAGAAAATGTCCAGCCAGACCTGCAAACAACTGATGTCACAAATTGTGAAGATAAGGCCAGCCAGAGAGATGAATGGAGACGAGTGATATCTGCAGCAGTAAACTTCAAAGGTTCAGAATGCTAAAGAAGAAGATGACTATTATGTGCTACTTTATGTGAAGTAAAAGTTCAGCGTACATTTGACATTGTGAATGTGTTGTTCTTTTTTTTTTTTTTTTTAGATATATATTTTATACACTATTCGTATTCGGCTGAATAGTTGGTCAAGTTATTCGTATTCGGCCGAATAGTGAAAAGCCCTATTCGGTACAGCCCTACTCACAACACACACATACACACGTATACACACATACACAACAATCTGTTGTGTCTATTTCCTAAATACTGTGACATTCAGTTTCCCATTGTGTCTGACTGATAGAAGATAATCTTGACTAGACTCTTTGAAGAGTATCAGTCATCAACACCATGACACCAGACTCTTCACGTTGTAAAGGCAAAGTACCCTTTTCCACGCCCTCGAGCGTGACGCACCAAATAGGGCCAGACCTATATTGGGCACTCATGAGATGATGTGGTCCGTATAACTCCAGCCGCCTTTACTTCCCAGGACTGTAACTGGTACCCGCCAAATGCTGAATTGACGTTGGAGCCAAGGAAATGTGTCTAGCTCCTTCAGGACCCGAACCATGACCTTCCGATCCGCGGGCGAGCGTCTAGCTGCTACACTACGGTGGATATCTTTTCATCCTGTAACTCATTTAATGTTTGCACAATAAACACAAGTTTTAGACACAGAATTATCCACCTTGTAACTCACCCAATGTTTGCACAGTAAACACAAGCTCAAGATACTAAATTATCCACCTTGTAACTCACCTAATGTTTGCACAGTAAAAACAAGCTTAGGACAACAAATCATCCACATTGTGACTCATTTAATGTTTGCACAGTAAAAACAAGCTTAGGACAACAAATCATCCACATTGTGACTCATTTAATGTTTGCACAGTAAAAATAATTTCATGACACCAAATTATCCACCTTGTGACTCATTTATTGTTTGCACAGTCAAAAACATGGACACCAAATTATCCACCTTGGAGCTCATTTAATGTTAACGCAGTAAAAACATGGCCAGGACACTAATTTATCCACATTGTTACTCATTTTATGGATTCACAGCTGTCGAAAATTGACAGAGTTCCTACACAGACTTGGAGCAGTTTCCTCACGGGATGGCTGGAATTAGGAGATGAAATAAAAGCTGCTGAACTCTTTGCCAGATCCCTAAGAAACGTACAGCAGCCGTTTCTGGTGCGTATTCAAGACAAGGTGGTGCCGGGGGGATGGTGGGGGAATAGTGGGTGGGGTGGGTAGGCAGGGGTTATTTGAGTGTCTTTTACGTGATTATGCACTTTAAAAAAAAATTTAATCAAGGCTCTTGACACCTCTGAAACCAACGTTAAACAGTTAAGCTTCCAAACCGTTTGCATTTGGCATCGAACCCGGCACCCTGCCATTACGAAGCGGATTCACAACCCCTTAGCCACAGACGCCGACATTCAAGAGAAACATCAAATAAACGCGACGAGCAGGTTGGGTAATTTATCTTAGGGAGAAAAGAAAAAGCAGTTCAATTATGACATGGTTCAAAGTCTTTCGTAACATGCTTACTGTACGGTAGCAGTCGCCGTGGTGTAGCCGGTGGGAAGGTCGTGGCTTCCGGTCCTGGCGGAGTCATGGAAAGTAAGCGGGGTCAGGTTGAAGCTGACCACCTCACCCACCAAAAGCCCACTGGTTTATCCAATATAAAAGGTTGTTGCGTATCTTTTACAGGACGATGCAGAACCAACCCCAACAGCCCCTGGCTGTTGTGTGTTTTTTCTAGGCAAATTTACGTCCAGTAGTTTGCCATTGCTTCTGGACGGTCAGCTTTCTTGATACCACTGTCGAAACCAACGCAAAGCGCATAGTCCGCAGCTGGGATCGAACCCGGCATCCCGGCGTTACAAAGCGTTCGCATCGACTTAGCCACAGATCCGACGTATACAATATAAGTAAAAAAAAAAATGTAAAGTCGGGAGATGTGAACCAGCGTCATTGCACACGGTTATAAACCATAAGTGCTCTGCCACCAGCACAGACTGCTGATAAGAAATTGTCCGCCTGTGTCGCCATCCGCACGTAACTTTGTAGCTACAGCGACGTTCCTCCATTTACCCCAGAGTGTCAACTCTGGTACCCATTTCCTAGAGGCTGGGTGAACGCCGGGAACCGTTTGGTTTCGAACACCGACCGTGGGCTGCAGCGATTCGCAGTTGGATTTATAAGCGCGTCTCCTATCGACTGCGCTAACGCAGCTCCCCGAATATAAGTCTAGCCCTGTATGCCCAATACGTCTAAAAGTGTCGGAAAGGGCTCTTAACTTTTTCTTTTTACTTACTGTATTGTAGTTTGTAGTTAACATTTTATATATTGCTTTAGAAGATGTGATTACTTTTTTATTGTTTTTTTTTTTTTTTAAACTCTTTGAATCCCAAGAAACGCATCATACGTTTATAGATTCCTACCTAGAAGCCCAGTGAACACATGATGCGCCGATTTATTAAGTTGTTTACTACCCCCTGGGCCAGTAATGCTAAACCCAGTGGGACTCAGAGAGTTAAATTTCGATTATCTGCTTTGCTGGAGTAAATGTAACAATAAAAGACAGTGATTTGAGGCGTTATGACAATTTAAAATAACCAAGTGGGTTATGAATTAGCAGGGAGACTAACATATGTAATGTTGTCTTAATTTACGTTTCTTATTCTAAAGTAGAAATTTTGTGGAGCGATAATTTTATTGGCTGGTTTAAGTCATGAAGAAGCGACGAAAATATTTGTGTTGTTGGGTGGTCGCCACAAAAAGGGTCGCGGCGTTAGGCAGGTTGGGAACAACTGGATTAGCCGTTTTTGTACCTAACAAGTCGCCGTACGTTTCTAGTTAATTCTTAATGCTATATAACATTCTTGCTGTCTTCTATCAGAGATGGGTGGATATTTTAAGTATAGCGGCTAGACGCTCGCCTGCCGAACTGAAGATCGGGGGTTCGAATCCGAAAGCAGCCGGACGCTTTAAAAAAATGACCTTGTCTATCAGGTCGACCCAGCTTTGAGTGGGTGTCGTGTAAAATCCAGGGAAGTAAAGGCGACCGGCAAGATGTTAGCCCCATCACAGAGTTTGAACTATAAAATATAGGTCCAACAGTATGTGTCGAATACAACCTACAGCAGCGGTTCTCAAGCTATGGGTCAAGACCCTTTCATAAGGGTCGCCTAAGAAAATCGGAAAACACATATTCACTGACGTTATACAGTAGCAAAGAAAGTAATTTTATGTTTGCGGGTCGCCACAACATGAGGGAACTGTATTAAAGGGTCGCCACAACATGAGGGAACTGTATTAAAAGGTCGCTACAACATGAGGGAACTGTATTAAAGGGTCGCCACAACATAAGAAAAGGTTTTAAAGGGTCGCTACAACATGAGGAACTGTATTAAAAGGTCGCTACAACATGAGGGAACTGTATTAAAGGTCCCCACAACATGAGAAACTGTATTGAAAGGTCGCTACAACATGAGGAACTGTATTAAAGGGTCACCACAACATGAGGAACTGCATTAAAAGGTCGCTACAACATGAGGGAACTGTATTAAAAGGTCGCTACAACATGAGGAACTGTATTAAAAGGTCGCTACAACATGAGGAACTGTATTAAAAAGTCGCTACAACATGAGGAACTGTATTAAAGGGTCGCCACAACATGCGGAACTGTATTAAAAGGTCGCTACAACATGAGGAACTGTATTAAAAGGTCGCTACAACACGAGGGACTGTATAAAAAGGTCGCTACAACATGAGGGAAATGTATTAAAGGGTCACCACAACGTGAGAAACTGTATTGAAAGGTCGCTACAACATGAGGAATTGTATTAAAGGGTCACCACAACATGAGGAACTGTATTAAAAGGTCGCTACAACATGCGGAACTGTATTAAAAGGTCGCTACAACATGAGGAACTGTATTAAAAGGTCGCTACAACATGAGGAACTGTATTAAAAGGTCGCTACAGCGTGAGGAACTGTATTAAAAGGTCGCTACAACACGAGGAACTGTATTAAAAGGTCGCTACAACATGAGGGAACTGTATTAAAGGGTCTTCGCATTAGAAAGGTTGAGAACCACTGACTCCAAGCGCGGAAAATTTTTATTTACTTCACTTCTGACCTATAGTGTCTCTAGCACCATCAGACGTAAGTTTTGGTTGCGTTTGAGTTCAACTCTATGAGACACTATGAGTTCAAGTAACAACGTCTTTATGAGTTCAATTAAAAGGTCGTACAACATGAGTTCTGTAGTAACAACGTCTTATGAGAGAACTGTATTATTAACAACGTCTTTATGAGTTCAAGTAACAACGTCTTTTTGAGCTCAAGTAACATCATCTTGGGGCTGCAAGAATTAATTCCAATGCCGGGTTTCGACTTTTAGAGCTTTAGAAAGGCGTGTATCTGTCGCATCGAGGTTGCTGGTGAAATTTCCCCAGACGATACAGCAGAACAGCTACCCCGTGGATTGTGTTTGCGCGCTTTTTTCGCACTCTTTTTTCGCTTTCTCCAATATCAGAAACCAGAAAGGCATGTGAGATAGATACTAGAACTTTACTATGCTAATGGTATATTTGCCTGGTAAACGCTGGTATCGACAACTAAAAGAACAAGAAGACGGTGATATACTGGGAAGACTATCATGTGAAGCTGTCGGAGAGTCCCAAAATGTGCACTGAAATAAGAAACAAATGGATTTAGTATTCAAGGCCTACCTAGAGAAATCATACCACACACGTTGAACAGAGAGATCAAAGATACCTTTTTTTCGTTCACCATATTGCACAAGGTAAAACTGAGTTAAAGCGTGTCCAAATCTTATTCCACTAAAAAACAAAATAATTATGGTATATTCGTTCGTTCGTTCTCATTCGTTCATTCGTATAATCTCCCCGTATGGATTCTGGGGCCCCATTGTAGTGAGTGTTGGTGGGGGGGGGGGGGGTAGACCCATCACCATTTCTTTCCCCCCCCCCCCCCCCAATCGCCTTTTAAAAAGCATGTCGTGAAATTCAGTCAGTGAGTTTTGTTACCTTTTATAAGTTTTGTTTAACTCCAGTTCTGCAACAAGTCAGAAGAAGTTAACGAACAAATCTTGTTCCCGGAGTTTATAGCCACTAAACGATAAGATGAAGAAGTTCGTATAAATGGCTCAGCATTAATATAATGAGGGTTACCAGATTACCAGATTACTGTGGTTATGTTTTGTTAACAAATTTCAGATGTGTTTATGTTTAGGGTTAGACGACGGATCAACATCCTGGCACAAGAGATAACCCATACGTGCTCTGTTCTACTTCGGACTCAAGCCTGAGTCCGAAGGTTCTCAGCACAGTGCACGAATTCCATAGCACCGGCGAGGATCTTGAAACACTTTAGGTAGATTTTTTTACCACACATTTTGCCCGGGCAGCGCCGATAAGCTACTATTTTCGATTTCCAACTGCAAGATATTTTTTACGTGCGCAACAGTACACGCGGGCGTCCGATCTTACTACCCAGAGACCAGGGGAAATTTTTAGAATTCCACGTAAAAAAAATCCCAGATTTCAATGGGGGCTGACCCGGGACCTCCAGCACTCCATGCCTCGAGACCACGTAGCCTCCTGATCAGATGTGTAATTATCAACAGACTCCGACCCTAGTGCCAAGATAAAAAGTGTAACATAGTTTGTGTGCGATATTAGTGTATTCGGTCTCAATATATGTTCTCTCTTATATTTTAATGTTTTTTAAATAATTTAATTTGCCTTGTCTGGAGCAAGCGCCGACCATTTGAAAGTTAGTTGCGTATCCTTTACACGACCAACCACAGCATAATTTTTTTTTTACTGATGTGGTTTTTCTAGGGAAATGTTACGTTCAGTAGTTTGCCATTTCAATCTAAACGGTCAGCTCTAGGTACCACTGTCATAACCAACGCAAGACAAACCGTCTGCAACTGGGATCGAACCCGGTACCCCGGCATTACGAATCGCGTTCGCAACCTCTAAGCCACAGACGCCGACCACTGACTGTTAGGGCCTTTTAATCTTTTGGTCTATCTTATTAAATTTCATTTTAAGAGGATTTTTTTTTCAAAGCAAGTCCTCTAACTAACCTCGCTCAGTCGCCTCTTACGACATGTCGTCTGGGTTAAAGTTTTACAGTAGTTTGCTTCCCTTTTAAGTAGGGCTGTACCGAATAGTGATTTTCACTATTCGGCCGAATACGAATAGTGGGACGAACTATTCGGCCGAATACGAATACGAATACGAATAGTGTATCATCATCATCATCAGGTACCGTGCCGACTGGCGTGAACGATCATGCCTCTCTACAATCTGCTATCTCCTGCAGCATGTATCAGTTAGTGTACTGACACACCTCCATGCCATGCAACAAGACTGTGTTGTCTTCCTCTATTCCTCCTTCCACAGATCTTTTTAGTGGTCACCAAATGTTCCATTTACCCTCTTCTCATAACATGGCTGAAAAATGAAGACTGTCTCCTTCTGATGTCTGTGATTAGTTGTCTTCGGACTCCCGTCTTTTTCAAAACCATCGTTCGCTCGGCCGTTCGTTCGATGTAATTTAAACGCACCTTCATATTCTCGTTAGCAATATCTTAAAATTTGATTTTGGCGAAGACACCCTAAAAGAACGAAAAATGCATGATCTCCCCCCCCCCCTTTTCCCCCCCACCTCTCTCTCTCTTACACACACAGACACACACTCACACACACTGCGGTTGGCATTTTATTCATTTTGTACAACGCAACCGGGCGGCAGTTTCCCCCGCTACGACATAGGCAACAGCAACGATTGTGTTAATGAGAGAGTAATTTCAGTCCATCACAGTGTATGCAGAAACTGGAGTAAGGTAACCACTATTCGTATTCGGCCCCACCGCAACTATTCGGCCGAATACCGAATAGTTATTAGGTCCACTATTCGGCCCCGAAGCGAATACGAAGCGAATATTCTCTACAGCTCTACTTTTAAGTACCACCAACACGCGAGTGAATAAAAAATGCACGTTGCCTAGAAGGCTAACCCTGGCAACAAATGCCTGCAGACGTCGGATGTATTGATCGAAAGAGGAAAATGTCGCAGCCATGTTGTAAACGCGCACAAAATATTTACGTCTTTGGATCAACGCAGAAGAAGAAGAAGAAGAAGAAGAAGAAGAAGAAGAAGAAGAAGAAGAAGAAGAAGAAAAAGAAGAAGAAGAAGAAGAAGAAGAAGAAAAAGAAGTGTGTGCGTTTTAACATGCATATGACCCCATTCCTAAAAACTTCCGTGTGAATATGCTTTCAATGAGTCACTCCCTGCAAATTTCCACGAAAAATGTAACTGCACCCACATAAATTCGCGCTCAATTGAGAACAGAAATAGAAAAACAACCGATGCTGTAAGAAAACTGTTTCAAGCATTTCAAGTGCGCCCTGTCCAATTACGGAAACTGCTTGCGCGTTCTCAAATGAGGTAATGAAGTTTACTACCAAAATGCAAAGTGCAAGTGCCTTTAGTAATCATTTAAGGCTATCACCATTTTCAATCCCCACCTTGTATGTTTTTTCAGTCAATCAATCAGGTGCCGTCTTCAGGGTAAAGGTCGGCTACAATGGATCTCCAACACACTCTGTCTTTTGTCATGGTTGTACAAAATCTCAGACTTGCTGCCCTTCCATCTCTTGATGTTGTCCTTCCACTTGTATCGTTGCCTACCTTTTGCTCTCTTACCTTCGATCTTTCCCTCCAGTATGGACTTTTTAAAGTGTGTTATGTTTTTTAAATGTGGCCAAAGTATTTCAATTGTATCTTTTTATTGTATGTTATATAGATTGGTTCATTGTTTATGAATTTTCTAGAATACACAGCCCGATTTTAAATGATGCGACTCATCTTATTATGGCCGAGACAATTATGCCACCCATGTAGTAAAATATGTAATTTTAACATCATCATTCATCGATGATTTAGCCAAACTGCGACATTTCATGGTCAGCGGACAACAAATAATCCATAATGTTGTACAGCTAGTGGGAATTGCATGGTTACGTTTGCATCAAGATGCAAATATTGAGCTTTAAATTTTGTTTTTAACTCCGAAAAGTGCTTTAGAGACAACTGTATAATTAATTTAATAAATTCAGTCTTATTATTCAATTTTCGAATTATGTGAATTATGAATTTTGACTTTCAGTCTCGGCCACACACATAACGAAAAGTTTCAGATAGTTGTAAAATTAGTCTTTGTTTTAATCCGAAGATGAAAACTGGTCGTTTGTTTATTTAGTTAGTCTATTGCTTTGTCCGATGATGAAGTTTCTGGTTGTTGTTAGTTATTTTGTCTCACGATAAAGACCCTGGTTGCAGTTTAATTAGTCTGGTGTTTTGTTGGTTGATAAAGAGTCTGGTCGAAACGTTCATTTACCTATCTATGACCTACCTATGCTCGTTTTATCCTTTTCTTTTCTTCAGCTGTCTAGTTATAGTTTTGTTATAGTTATTTCTAGATTAATTTAGGTTTCTCTTAATTCTGACGCTTGACACAAACTCAATGTTTATTTTAATGTTGATACACAACACATTTTCTAAGTAAATTGTTTAATCGCTCGCTTATATTTCCTAAATTATCAACAGGTTTGGTCTCAGTATGAAAATGTCGACGACCCAACAAATTTTATAACCGGAATGGGCGGGTATCTCCAGTCTGTTTTGTTTGGATATGGAGGTGCCAGATTGCACGACAACAACATGACTTTCAACCCAAGACTAATTCCTGGCACAACAGCAGTCAAATTTACGGGTATCAATTACAGAGGATGCAATTTTGATGTCCACTACACCAAAGACACCATGACAGTCACACTGACAGCAATCATGCCAGGTCACCGAAGTTTAGATATTCTTTTTGAAGACAAAATTAACTGGCAGGAAATGATGAACGGTCAAAACATTAACGCTAGAAGGCAGCATTTTATAATTAGAAGTAGCCAATAATTAGGATAAGGCAACACTTATTTCCATTTTAATATATTGTTTTAGCTTAAGAAGGCGAAACACTGGCCAAACTGATTTTTATTTTTTTTTTTATTTTCTTGTGAAGACTTTTCCAAAAAATCGCTTTTTTTATATCATCATCGTCGTCGTCATCATCCTCCCCTTCATTATCATCATCATCATCATCAACAATTTTATTGAAGGATGACGTGAGCGATAGTGGGTCACTACTACAAGCTGCGACCTCAAATATCATGCACCAGTTTCATGTGCTGAAAACTCTCCCTCATGTCAGAGGGCTGTCAGGAATCTTCTCCAGTTGTCTTCCCTTATCTCTCTTTCCGCAAATATTCCAGACGTCAAATGTTCTAGGTTTCGTTCTGTTCATTACCTGGAAAAGAAAACGGCCGTCGCTTTCTATGTAAAGTTTGTTTCGGGCCCTGGCTTCTTTCAAAATATCTATTTCACTCATTTAGGTTAACCATGAAATTTTGAGCATTCTTTTTTTTTAAACAATATTTCTGCGGTCTCAGGAAATTGTTTGGCCTGTAAGTTATCTTGAATTCTCACACAAGACCCTTGTCAGTATGTATTAGGCATATATTAAAAGTAAAGTAAAGATCCCCTTTCACTCCTTTGGCGCATCGGGCATATGTGAAGAACACCCCATATTTTTACAGACCAATCGGCACTAGTTGGGTAATGTGGTCAGCATTACGCCGGCCGTCTTTACTTCCCCAGGACATTTGGGCATATATTGCTAGATCTAAATTTTATAGACCAACCGTCACTCAGTAGGTTAAAAAATAAAGTTGATGTAGATGTTGTGGTAAACATCACACAAGCCGCCTTTACTTCTCAGGGCCTTACCTTGTAACCACTCAACGATGTATCATCTACCACACGCAACAAATTTAAACATTATGCCTTGTCTGCACTTGACTTTGCGGTCACTCCTCTTGTGTGCCTGGCCCGGCAGGGTTGCCATATTGGCATTTTTTATGCCAGATTCTACAAATCTGGCATATTTGAAATTGAACTGGCATAAGATAATGAACTGGCATATTTTGGCACGTTTGGGTTTTTCCTGGCAATGTAGACCTAGAGTTAAGATCTTTATTTCAGTTTGACTTTGTTGTGATGTCCTGGTACGGACTAACGGGGATTCGCGCCATTTCTGATTGTATTTGTTGTCTTCATAAACGGATCGTGACTTCAATAAACCAAGGCCCTCTGTAATTTATGTCCACCACTGATTTTAAGTGATTCAGACTGTTCAGAAACTACTTGAGGACAGAAAAAAGAGAGGATATAGACCTAGTTCTATCTGAGATAGATTTTATTACTTTCACCAATGGCCACGTCATCCCCCCCCCCCCCCCCCCCCAAAAAAAAAATGGAAAGCATCTTATGACATTGCAAGTATAATAGTAACTGGAATAAAACAAACTCACGGCTCAAAAGATCTTCAGATGAATCAGAGGCAGCATATTGTAAACTGTGTCAGTGCGAATGCACCAATAATTAGTAGCGTGTCAAATCATAAAAAAATCCGAAAAACACAGGATCAAAACTCCGTCAAAAAGCCAGTCACAGATTATTACAACAATGACTCCTAGGCAAAGTAATGATAAAGTTAAAGGCAGCAGAGTTGCAGCTTGCTGTATGCATGACCTGCCATTGTGCAATACGCACAAATGATCATCTAAGTGAAATCATGAGAGCACACGGTCGGGGGAGTACATTAGAGCACATACATCTGCATAGAACTAAATGTTCATGCCTAATAAAAAATATTATATCGCCTGCACTTAAGATGACCTTATTGATGATTTTCGGAACAAGAAGTATGCCATCATTATAGATGACTTCATCCCATCTGAGAAAATGCTTAAAGATTTTACATTCAAAAAGGTTTACGCTGTATCTTCCACTGGTTGCAGTGAGGATGACAGTAAAGAATTTAATCTAGAGCTTTTGATTTGAAGTGAGTACAATGTTAAACTTTATTTGGCATTTTCTGGCATATTTTGGGTAATGGTTTGGCATAAAATTAAGTTTTTTATCTGGCAACCCTGTGGCCCGGTCGGGAAAAGTCTAGCCCTGAAGTAACGCCGTTTTGAAAGTTTTTATTCCAAACAAACACTTTGTGGACTGGTAGGCATGCATCTCCATATCGGACTTTCATAATGGTGGCACTTAGTGAGTCAACACCGGCCACCAAGGCTGTTTATGTGGTCAAGATGCTGACCAAAGTAATGATGGCATTTTGAGTCTACACCGAATACCGAGACTTGACCAAGCTGATGTGCTGACCTGACAGCAATGCTAGGCTCTCTATCTTAGTTGGCTAAACCGGATTGTGCGGAGACCGTGTGACGAACTCCTTGTGGTCCGGGTTCAATCCCGGGGGTAGGCAGGAAAGCCACATTTCTCCCAGATTTATGGTATTTACAATGGAATCAAGGCCGATATCCATAATACCGAACTTAAGGATTAACAACTCATGGCTTAGGATACTAAAAAAAAAAAAAACCAACCTCGCAGCAGTCACTTGTGTTGGATATACTGCGTGCTGGAGCTCCACATATTGTCGGGAGTCTACCCTCTTCACCTGACCTGTCCAAGTGGGTCATGTGAGAGCAGGCTGCTGTACGGGAGTGGTCTGTTCCCCTGTCGTTCTGTAATGTGTTTACCTAGGGATTTCCATAGCGTTGCGACTGGGTTGCGGAAGTCTGCAACGAATTGGCATCGGGATGTACATACTATGCAGAACTCGAACTCTGTCATTGAGATTTGTGTTCATTGTGTTGCGAGTGTGTCTGCGAGTTTACTGATTGATCAAGTTGACTGAATGTTGTGGTCTTGTACATTCATCATTCATGAGACTAGACAGTTGACAGAACATTATGTGCAATGATTGCAGTGAGTGAGCAACAACAGATGTCATGGCTCCAGCAAACTGTCAGGTCATGAGGCTTGTTTGCTCGAGGAAGAGGAGAATCAGCTGTTGTGTGGGGAATTTAATATGATGTATAAAGAGTTAATAAAGCCAGGACTTTGTTTTGACAGGTTGGAAATGTCACCAGTTGAAGCCACCTGAATACAGTGCAGCATGAACCACTGGGGAAAACATAGTGGCTTGAAGTTCATGACCAGCTTAAGGACATCATGGATATTGTGTGTCAACATCACGAGGGGGGTTGTAAGAATGTGGGATCCACATGTAACCGCGGGTGGGGAGAGTCCAGCGGTAGTTTGAATCAGTTAGTTGCTTTCAGTTCGTCTTACTGTGTGGATGTGTGGACTTGTTGTTCGAGTCCAGCGGTTACGTGAACTGTGTTTTAGCAGTGTTTTATTCTACCGTGAATTCGAGTTGGATGTCGGATTTCTGCTAGTGTGATTTCTAGAATCGACGGTTGTGCGGCCCAATATATTTATCGGGTCGGCACTGTTGCAGCTATAGGACACGTGGTTTACGGGGTATCCTTAAGCGCACAAAAGGTGCCGGGGACCTTGCGTGTGTTAACCAACGTAGAGTTGTGATTGGGGAAGTATCGCAGGCTGATTAACGAGATGTTAGTCACTGATGCTTCAGCAAGTGGCGCATCTGCCTTGAGTCCTAAGTTGGCGGGTCGTTTAGAGGACCGGCTGTCAGAGGGCTGTTACTATATATCATACAGGTGTATTGGTGCGTTTGGGTGGTACTCACGCGTAGCAGGCACTTGGTGCATAGTTCGCTGGGGTATTGTGTCCCTGTCTGGAAAGACTGCCGATGTGGATATCTGACCGACAGTAGTGGACTGACAGTGATTCATCGATCACATATTCAGATTCATCGCAATGTGTTCCTCCGTTATAAAGAGAATGATCGCACTACAAAATCATACTTGGCGTGGTGTGTTATGTTATGGTACTCGTAGACGTTAGTTTGGTTAGGAGAGGACATGCTCCGTGTTCCTGGTTATAGTGGTGTTTCTATTGTCGATTACAGTGATTCCAAAACTGTGCGCCCCGGGGAGCCCCGACCTCTTCACGGGGGTGCCGCGAAATACTGTAAAAGCTTTATAATTAATTTGACAAGGACACGAATAGCCATATTTTTACCTAGGTTATGGCGCCGTAGAATTAAAACAAAAAAAGGCGCTGCGACCCAGAACAGTTGAGGAATCACTGATAGATGGCCTTCCCTTATTCTTAAAAAGGAACCTAATAGTCGTGTTGCCGTCTAAGGGAGCTCTTGTATGTGTCTGGAGCAAGTCGTACACATTGGGCGCTTGGCAGGATGTGTTACCACTAGGAAAGCATCTGTCACTCACCTTTCTCATCCTTTCTCTCACTCCCTTTATTTTTACTTAGTAATCCCCCTTCCCGACTTTTCTAGTTTTATCTTTCAGTGGAGCTTAAGCTCTCACAAAACTCATTCTATCTGGCTTGTTCAAGAGATTAGCTGGATTGTGTGTACTGTATTCCCCGTGTAGTTCGCGGTGTCCATGAGTTTAAAAAAAAAAAAGATTTTTGGATGGTTGGGGGTGGAGTGGGGGGGGGGTTTAGGGGGGGGGGGGGTTAAAAATTTAGGCCTGCGCTGCTGCTGCTTAAAAAGCCTGTATTAAAAGGCGCAACAAATTAAGAGTTTGTTAAACACAGCGATGTGTGTGCTGTGAGGTTCGGATATTCCGCCTAACAGTAAACTACAACACAAAATGTCAAACGCCATTTTAAAGACGAATGCATAATAATAATTATTATTTTATTAATTATATGATAAGAATTAATTTCTCAAACCATTCCACATGAATAACACCTTACGCCATGCATGATTGGTTACACCCTGGCTTGCTTCCTATGAGATCCCTGCTAACACACATTTGTCGTTTCAATCGATAACTAATCAGCCATCTATTATGAACCAGCCCCATGTGTTTCCTAGTTGCTCCTAATTCCATTATTGAGTGGTTAAAGAGGTCCCAAATCTGGCCAGTCGAATGAAATTCCACGGC